GTGATTTCGTCCTAATAGCTGTTAAATCCACATTCTCAGCGTGACGTAACTAACGTAAATAAGCTCCACATTCCATGTTCAGTTTCTTTAAGCCATCATATGATAGCTGCTTGTCGCTGACCAGAAACAACTCCATCGCTCAAGCGTGAACGCGTTGATCTAGTTAAACGTGCTAATTCAGGTGTAGCCAGCGTGCAACGGTGAAGTAATGTTAATGTGCTAGTGTCACCTGTCGGATTCCCTGAGCTCGAGTCCAGACATGGTCAAGGATAAGCACTGTTGATGAGGTTTCCACGACACATTCTAGCCCGATGAATCCCTGTTTTAGACAGGATAGAAGGAGAGACCATAAGAGTGGTGTGAATTCGAATGCTGTAGTGTTCGTGCACCATTAGCCGGTCTTGGCGACATTTCGAATGCAGGATCCAGATCGTGACAGGTTTCAGATGCGCTTCTTTCTTGCCTAGTTCCGGCAAAAATCTACTTGAGATTTCATTCCCGTATGAGTGACACGTGTGTGTTCCAAAAGAGAGCATCGGATATATGGTATTCGAACTACGTTTGCTCCAGATTAAAGCGAATTTCAAGCAGTGATCATTTTGGAGGGAGATTTTTGTACGATTTCATGATTTTTACTAATCCGTGTTCATTCAAGATTAATCCACTGAGGCCTCAGAAAGCGCCTGGAAACGAAACGCAACCGAGCAGGTCACAAGCAGGGTTAATGAGCTCTACAGTCCATATTCTTAAACCATTCTTACTGGATTAAATCTTGCCGGAGCCACTTGTGATCCCGCAAGTTTCCATACACGGTACACTGATGCTAGATTAGACACAGCACTACTAAAGAAGGGCGATCCCTCAGATGAGACCAATTATTCTCTTCTCGTGGTAACTTATTTCCAGGAGATCGCTACAGTTTGAGGAGAATGTCGGAATAGACAGGGAATGAGTAAAGCAGTCATTTCGGCACCACTTACCGATGCAGGATAAAACGCTGTTTCAAGCAATTTGAAATAGAAAATCAGGAGGCCAGACAAGAGCATTTTCAAACTACGCACAGAGCAAAGTGACACCTGCTCAGTGGTGACAAGTAGGAACTGAGAATGTCACAGAAAAACGGTTAATTGCGGCATACTCAACCAAGCGTCATTATCTACACTATTCATCTAAACTTATTTAAACAAACTGATAGATATATCGAGCTTGAAAACGGCCATTTTGTGAAAGTCGGAAAGAAGAAAACTACTTCTGATGCGACACACAATCCACTGTATGTAGTCACCAAAAATCACCAATTTTCATCACGACAACAATTCGTTTCCGACCTTTTTACCTTTACACGGCAAACTAACAAACCGCATCGATCACACACATACTGCCGAGCAGCTCTTCCTTCGAAATATGGATTAAATCTTGCCGGAGCCAGTTGTGATCCCGCAAGTTTCCATACACGGTACACTGATGCTAGATTAGACACGGCACTACCAAAGGGCGATCCTTCAGATGAGACCAGTTAGTCTCTTCCCGTAGTAACCTATTTGCAGGGGGTTGTTATAGTTCGAGCAGAATGTCGGAATAGACAGACAATGAGTAAAGCAGTAATTTCCGCACAAATTACAGATGCAGGATAAAAGGCTATTTGAAGCAATTTGAAACAGAGAATCAGGAACCCAGACAAAAGCATTTTCAAACAATGTACAGAGCAAAGTTCCACTGGTGGGAGGGGGCACTTGCTCAGTGGTGACAAATAGGAACTGAGAATGTCACAGAAAGACGGATAAGTGCGGCATACTCAACCAAGCGTCATAGTCTACACCATTAATCTAAACATATTTGAACAAGGTGACAGATATATCGAGCTTGAAAACGGCCATTTTGTGAAAGTCGGGGAGAAGAAAACTACTTCTGATGCGACACACAATCCACTGCATGTAATCACCAAAAATCACCAATTTTCATCACGACAACAATTCGTTTCCGACCTTTTTACCTTTAGGCAAACTAACAAACCGCATCGATCACACACATACTGCCGAGCAGCTCTTCCTTCGAAATAGCCTCGCTACGGGTTAAAACTGTTCACACCTCTCCCCATTACCTGGATGTCCACAGGATAGTAATCATCCCTCTCACAAGCAATTTCATTCGAAATCACCCGCCTCATCGGCTACTGGGGGGAGGATCGAAGAATTCTACCGCCTTTTCATGTTGATTTTCCCCACTTATTGCTATTGCTAATCCTAGCTTGGAAGTGGATATCCGCTTCATATCATGACATGACGTATTTCCACGAAAGTGGAATCCTATGTGCATTTTAGAATATAAGCCAACTGAGGTGACACATGTAGTTGGTACTGCTTAGGGAACAAAAATGCGTAATCATCAGCCAGACTGAGAGAGCCTTTGCGCTGCACATTCGGTCGAAGAATCGCAGAAGTTATTGTGCAAGTCAACTTTGATTGGGCGTCGGCGATTGATTGAGCGGTTAATTTGTGCGTTGTCTGAGTTAAGCAATCAAGACCTAACACAAACCAAGGCTGTATGCAGCTTGAGGACCCAGCTGACCGATGCCATAACAACTGGTCTGCTTTCTAGTGAACATACATCGCGGGTATCGCGCAAGAACGTACGGATCAGAGGAGTTATAAGACCGCAGCTGGTCCAGATCGGTGATGGACACACGCGTTACAGACAACAGGTGGGAGATGCACCATCTGCCGGCGGTGTCGCAAAATGTACGTAACCCAAACGCGCCGTCTGGGAACTAGTTTGTTCACCGAGCTTGGCAAGTGAATTGTGAGCAATTCCTCAGCAATCGAGAAGGCATAATTAGGGCGTGGCCCAATGGGTAGTCCCCTCTTATTGGCGTTTATATGGTTTCTAGTGAGTACCAGTGTCTCTGGTGTGATTGGTTACTTTCGCTTAATCTGGCTGGTTCTTTGAATCCCTTCGTTTCAACAGCCGTCGCTCTGTCCGGACTGGTTCGCTTGCTTGTCGCGTTGGGAGCTGTATTCTTTTCTTTCGATTGGTCGATTGGATAACTGTCCCATCTTAGTTTTTGCCAGTGCATGCACCACCGACTCACCAGTTATACTATCCTTTGTATGTGGTGGATTGATATAATCGTACGAAGGGATTTCAACACATACGAGAGGTTTATCAGGAAATTTCCGGCCGATATCATCCAGCCCATGCATCTCCACCTATCCAGAACTATTTCGCCTCTCGTAGACTCGTCCAGAGTTTGGATTCTTATATAAATGCAAGTCCACGTTCAGAAACCGCACACTGCGGTACATTGTTCGTATATTGGTAACTCGACAGCTTATTATCGTTACTCCCAAAGATTGACATAACACTGTCATTCATAGTTGTCCGCACTGCTGGATTTTCGCTACATGGGTGAATGACGGCTTTCTCCATTTGGCCCTATTATGAAGGCAACAACTGGTTGAGAAAGTGAATCCAGTGAGGAACAACTGGCGCTTAAACATACGCAATAAGTGATGGATAAGTACCAAAGAATGCAAACTGGTCTACCGCATGCTCCACAGCTGAACAGAATTCACAGGTTCAGTACGGGAGGGCTCTGCTAGGCGTGGAGGTAGACACGTCAGAAAAACTACCAACCACTAGGCCCAGTCTCACCGTACATCGATTTGTTATTCTTCCTAGCATAGAACTATTCAAAGTACCATATTCTGGTTTTACAACCAGCTGGTATTGAAGACATGATGACAGTTTATCAAAACTGTCGAACAGAGGGTAACACTCCCCATGGAACTGGTCAACATATTGAGTGGAGACATTCTAGCGTATTCGTAAGTCCGATCGATCCATCAATTTCGATTGGCTTCAACGAAATGGCTCCACTTTGGTGGTCACAAAAAGATCGCAAGCCCATACTACGTCATTGATTCGGAGAACTTCTTTGCATTCTGAATTACACTAAAAGCTATTAGTTGACGACTGGACCAAATGAGATGCAAGTTACTCCCGATACCCTGTGTATGGATTATTCAGTTTGCTCTGTACGAACACGAAGATTGCGTCCGCGAAAGTCCGCACTGCTATACTGCAAACAATTGCTGCACATAGTTGGATGAGTCTACAGCACCGATGTGGGATCACCAATACAAAAACTTTCGTTGCGGAGGGAATCTATCGTTTCGGGCACTGTCGGTGCCATTCGTCTCCCGGGGCAAGGCCTGCGTCGCCTAGATCTGCACCTATGATGTTGCAGGAGACTGCCGCAAAACGATGGTACTAGCATTCATAATATCCTCTCGCAGGTGAAAGCACCCCAGACTGGAATAAGACCCCATATGACAGTATACAAGAATGATGGTCACTTGGTGATACAGATGCCAACAATCCTACATTAGTGTGAGGATTCTCAAGTGCGCGTTAGCCAAGAGATGGCATGGCCAAATAATTTTACGCGCTCGGAGCGACAACCCCATAGTTTCCGTTCCCAAGAATATAGACGATACCTCGATATTGTGGTACCGATTCAGTAAGTCGAATCGAAATGAGGGTTTGTCTGTCGACAAACACCCATGCTTACCGTCCAAAAAGCTGCTGGATATGACAGAGAACTGTGTAGGAAGTGATATAAAGTTTCTCTGCGTTTTTATCAAACCGGCCAACCAAGTTCTGCACATATATTTCCATGAGTCTATTTCATTCGTGAATATGAACCGCAACCGCCACGTTTTGACTCAGAATTACACTGCGAGACTCCGACATTTTCCTCATGAGTTAGAGATCCGTAATATGTCGAGTGGCCAGGAGGAATGAAATGAAGCAAGCGGCAATAAAATATTGCGTGCGTAGGTAGGATTTGCGAGGAAAGGAATTAAAACCGACTTGACATAAGCTCTGAAACAGGCTACAGGTCTTTCTAGTGCTCAAACGCACTTGGCTGGTTCGCAGTTTAAATAAACCAGTAAAAGAATTGAAAAAACGTTCAGCTGTAGGACCCTTTCGGTGCCTAACTGCCATGCCAACCGAAGGAGGCACGAGCGCTGGGATACTGCCAGGTTGCCCAAGCCTAGACAGGGGAAGTCGAGAGGCTGAGGTGGGGTTCGAACCACAGACCTTCCAGTCAGTAATTTCGCGCTCTAACCACTTGGTCCATTTCGCCCCCAAAGAATCGAACACACGTCTCCATCTGATCGGACTGCGATGATATTCACAAAAGCTATTAACTTCTCATTTTACAGGCTAAGGATTTCAAGGCTTCTGTAGAACGTCTAACCGTACACGATACAACGAGGATTTACACACTGAAGAGATTAAAACATATACGTGTCACACATACCATTCCTCAGCCGGGCATCGATTTACGGGTACACCAGCTCCATTGGGTTTACTCGCCGATTTTACCGGTGGTGAAGGAGCTTGTCGACGAGAGAGTTGAGGCGTCACGCGGACTGCAATCGGAGATGGCGTTGGAGAGGATTTAGGCGGATATTCCACTGGCCGCGTGCGGATTCTCGGTCCAGTACCAGAGCTGCCGGGTGAGCCAGAGGGTACCCAGTTCGGATCCCGTAGACAAGCTCGTTCAACATTGACAACGGTACGAGCCTTGTCAAATGCGTTGGATTGCAGAGTTTCCTCTGAAGGCGGAACTCGATGACGCTTAGCTCGGCGCTCCTCTAAAGCACTGCGATTGGAGAAACTCGGTCTGCTGTTAAAACGTTTGCTAGGAGTCCTGCGAAAACTTGAAGCTGTCCGCGTAATGCCAGGTGTTGCTGCTTTGCCGAATCGGTCACCGGAGGACGGTGGGGGACTTGTGGCAGTGGGAGATGACATTCCACTGGAAACGGGCTTTTTCTTTTTACGAAAGCTACTGCTCCCAAACAAATCTGGATTTTGCAATTGGTACTCGGTGCGAAAACTCGCGTGGAATCGTGATCTGAGACGGAAGAGTTGTTTACGTTTCGGTGGAGGCTGACTTCGATCAGTCAGGCGGAAGAACGTGTGGTGTTCAACGGCACTTTTCCACAGGTTTTTACAAGCAGATTTGTTCGGTAAGACGAAACAGAATGAGTGCTCGGTGACTTGCCTCTGGAACAATAACGAAAAACTGAACAGGTAAGTAAGTCGCGTTCACGGTATGCTCAAGCAGGTGAAAGTTTGCATGACTAAACTGTGAGACACTCCGTTACCCTGGGCTGAATACTCACAACTAGCATTACCGTAAGTTTACGAGGGGACAACGAGCATTCATTAGATTACCGCGTTAACCAAACATTTGTCCTCGATAATGACTCCTCGGTTGCGAACATCGCTTTTACGACTGGAAACCCGTGGGGTGCACGAAGAATATATGGGGGCAGTGAAAAAACCAAGGCGTTGAGATAGATAGAGTGCACAGAGGTATTTACATGAGTGGTGTGCATCCAGACTCTTTGTACACTCTCTACTCTCCATAGGTTTTCTACAGGCTGTCATGAGATTGGTGTTCATAGATTGCATTTATTTATAGGGTTGAAACAAGCACAGATAAAAAACGGTTTAACAGGATCACAGGAACTCATCTGACGTATGATTCAATAGTCTACTGTCAGCAAGTTTAGGCCTGTTCATTTTAACAGCTATGAACTGTAGATCAAAAATAGGCTGGTTCCAGTTGCCACAGTCCCGGGAAATGGGAAAGCGCGGAAGATATAACGAAGCGCTGAAGGAAATGGCAGGATAAGTCAGTTCGGGAAACTGGGTAGCTACTCATTAAAAAGGATAGCTTTGATGCACGAGCGCCACTGATTGAGTGATTGAGCCATGTCTGTCAGTGTCATTAAACGTTGGTGAGTTGGAAGGCGGCAGTTTACTGGTTGGTGCTTTCATACTTCGTTACCAGGTCATAGAGTGTACACCTCTCGGTCGCTTCCAATCAGCACAGGGCTGGGCTAAGAGAGCTCTGAGAGGTAGACAGTTCCCTGGTACCAAATTGAATACGAAAGAGACCATGAAAGCGCGCTTGAGAGGAAACTGGTTAGAAAGGTATAATAAAAACATTGATACTGGGAACAGCCTTTTGGGACGACGGGAGGACCTAGACGTTGGTCCTTACGAGTTCAGAGAAAAATTCACCCCATGTCAGTTTCAGGTGTCAAAGAGAGCAAAGATTTTTTGCCTGACTTGAAAATGAATTCCCATTTGGCGAATTTTTCGAATCGGAATGAGTTTGGTGTTTCATTGAATTATGTCGCACCCATAAAGGTTTTTTTGATGACGACTCTATGCTTTTAATTGGCTGATCCCAACAGCCAATAAGGCGGAAGTTCTGATGCTAGGACAGATAAATTTCTGTTATGCTGATATATGTGCCTCCCATACACATTTGCCATGATGATCAGTGTGGACACTGTCTTTTCCGAGTGATTTTGGTGTTAGTTAAGATGGATCTGTGAGGTCGACTTCTGGAGACGTGCGCCGTATTGCGGCAATTTATCCGTTAAGAACTTCTCCATCAAATGCATATGTACCCACACATTTGTTAGGCCGCCACATTGTAACTTGGTCAAGGCAAGGATGAGTCTACGGCAGTGAAGCATCGGTGTTGAACACTGATGTCATGCTGTCGATGATGATGATGATGATGAAGGATGAATCACTTCCTTATAAAAGCATCGGGTCACCAGGTCTGCTTTACACATTCCCGTGTGCGCTAGGTCCCAGTTTCGAAAGTGTTAGAAACACAAGTCTGATGCACCCAGATGAAGACGTCTCACATAAGTGGTCTCTTGAGACGCACAAGAGTGAAACTCCAAAACTGGACCAAACAATGACATCAGTAGCTGCTACCCAATGGAGATGTTAATCAATACACACGAAAAAATGGTTGGTGAATGTGCTGGAAAGACCTCGCAAACTCGGGGGATGATATATCAAGCCTAAGCTATAGCTATTCTCTTACATGAACCATCCTTAAATACACAAAAGGTTTTCGTTTGGGTGGGGACAAGGAGTACCACAGCTGAGGAAGCCACGGGTCTGTCCTTACCGAAATCACCTTCAGGGTATATAACCCTGATACAAAGGCTGTCATTTTGAGACCCGTTACTTTCATTCCACATAATCACCTTGAAGGGGAATGCCACCACATACCACGCTACCGGAAGGAGGCACGAGGGCTGAGATATTGCCAGGCTGTCCAAGGCTAAACAGGAGCCGTTGCGATGTTAAAGGTGAGTTTGAGCCACGGACGGTCAGTACTTTGGTACTATCAGGAAGTCAGATTCCTGAAAGTGACCACTGAATGCCCGAAATCTACTGAGACCCTCAGCTCGACTAGATGCTGACCAATTAGACAATGCTCTCTCTCTCAATATGCAGCGCGGCACGGCTTCGTATCAAAGCCAGACAGTATGAGTCAGCGTTGAACAAACTTCAGTGTCCCTCTAGTAAAATAGCTTGTATTTTCGCACTCACGCTCTGGCACTCGCTTGTACGGACTCCCATCGGTGAGTCTACTTCCGACACTAGGCACTGCAGCGGGGCCAGCAGTCAGATACAACAGATTGGCGAATCAGCAGTTATAACAAGTACCTTAACCAATAAGCTATCCAGAGCTTAATGCCATCACAGGTCCAACCAGATGATCGTTGGGGCATAGATTTGGCTACAGGAGTGTGAAAACAAATCACGCCACCGTGTAAGTATGAGGGTATGAGGGAATGCATAGACCGAATAACGTCACAGGTCAACCCGGACAGCCAATAATTGTCCGAAACCGGTGCCAAGCCTGTCAATCAATCATCTTAGTATTTCACAATGTACAATGTTCAATGCAAGCCAAGGCGGTCCAGTAAGTAGGTTTTGCTTGTTTTAGTCAGTAATGCAGAGGAACAATCGGAACACTTCAAACAAACAAAGGATAACTGGTATTGGCTGCTAAAGGATCAATCACAATCGAACGAATTCGAACGGCCGATGCAGAGTACGGAACGGTGTCCAGGAAGATTGTCTGTATACTAATAAAAACAGTTACTTTGCTTGACAAAATGAGAGTTTCCAGAAGCCAACAGAAGTCTTACTCTTGATCGATTTCCGCGATTATGACAGTAAGTCAGCATGTAGGATCTCTCGGGTGTTATTACATTGAAATAGTGCTCGTGCTAGGACCTATCAACTGGTGTACACTGATTTATTCAAAAAGTGCTCGTGGATAGTCCAAAACACAACCTTATGCCATCCATGGCGCCATATATTGAGGGGCAGACCAAAAACAGTCTATTTTGAGAAGAGACAAACGTATGAGTCGAAAACCATGAGTCCATGTGAGGTGGAGGGCATATGTATGCGAAACGGTTAAGTGGCCAATCCTGTTGAGCTTAGCTAAGTGAGGAAGGTGGGGCGCGACTGAGCTTTCCAGATTCTGTGCGTAGCTTTCCCTTTGTTCGTTTGCAAGAAAGCAGTCCGCTTGGATTGCTTTAGTCGGTGGGTTGGGATTTCCGAAATAATCAAAAGAACTAAGTCGCGTTTGGGAATATGAAGAGTGACACCAAGTATCATGCTAATTCGTATGGGATAGGGTCACCTCGGACATCCTTACCAACGAACGTTCATAGAAACAGTCCCATTTCAAAAGTATGTGGACAGGAGTGTGGCGATCGTCAGGGACGAGGCTTCACCGCCCATGCTTAGATCGGTCGATAAGGTCTCATGGGAAAAAGCAAGGGACAACGCCGTAGACGACAAGCTCAACAGTCTAGAAGCAACCAGAGTCTAACGGCTGGTCGATCCAGACATCGATCGGTTACAATTTTTCCTTGCGTAACCTAGTGCAAGGAAACAAACTTTCATTCATAGAGGGAAAGGTGGGGTAAGTGCAATCGGATGTATGGATTACCTTTCCACAAAGGTGTACTTCATGTTTTGGGTAATAGTCGTAGGTGTACAACATACGTTTGATTAAATGTCGAATTCACGGTCCACCACAAGCTAGGTCACTACTCAGGAAACAGAAGAAAGACGCACATCTTTTCTTTACAGGAACTTAACGAAACACTTTGAATTCCGTGCAGCGAGCATTCCGCGACCATTCACACACATTCAATGAAACCTCTTGCAATTACGACGCGTGCTCAATAAGCTGTTCAATATGCTCGATACTGCGACCCAAGTTATGTAGGCAGGTGATTACGCCGACATCAATAATATGGTGTAGTCACATAGTTTGCTAAATCGCATTCGTGCCGGTGTACTGAGTCAACCCATACAAGAACTCACAGCGATTCGAGTCACGTGCGATGCAGATGACGTAACTTTGGCATTTAATTACACCCAAGGTTTAAACTGTGGCGGTGGACAAGAACAACGGTCAATATGGAGTGACAAATGTGCGGATCAAAGGTGAACAAAAATAAAAACATAACCAATTTGCGCAAAATGTGCGGTCTCACGCGCAGACAGAGTAGGGTAACGACAAATGAAGCGTGAATCGGCCATAAGCGCGGCTTGTTTCGCTATCACATAATAGCAGACAAGTGGAAAGTGGATCTCTGAGGTGGATGTACCCAACGATGGCCTATCGAGAGCCGAGAAGAGCCAAGGAGGTCTCATACGCAAGGATGGGACTAACTCCATTAAACAAATCGTGGATATCACCGACGATACTGAGGCAACCCAAATACATTAAACCAAGACTTAGAACTCGAGGCTCGGATGGTAGACGAAAGTAGTAGCACAAGATGAAAAGGCGATACATGGAGTGAAAACAGACAACTTACAGTGGTTTCGTTTTCTTCGGCAACCACAATCTTTAGCTTTTGGCCATTCATTGCGATTGTCAAAATGTTGGGCCTGTGGATAAGGACAAAGAGGAGGTAGAGTAGTGTGCCAAGCTGGTTGGCAGGTGGCAAAAACGAACAGTCAACCGGAAGGTCCAAAAACCCGTAGACGAGTCATGCAGGACAACACATAAGTAGCGAAATTGATTTAAGGATGAAGCAGACGGGATGACAACAACCCGACAGGCAGCAACGGAAGGTGTGGAACTAATCTGAGGCACGTTAAGGAGAGACGATTCACCTCCCAGCTACTCCAATCTTTTGAGGATAGCAAAGCTGACCAAAAATTTTTAGTCAAACACCATAATAAACATCGACCGAGGCAGGAAGTTTTCGCATGACTGTGTGGCACTTGAGGCCAGGTAGTAGCCGTTCACATCTCTCCGGTAGACAGAGTAACTGCAGAAAACCTGAAGCATGAGAAGTGTAGGTTACGGTAAAACCAAACAAGAATAATATGAGACAATGCGATGATAGTAGGAAAGTCAAAAACCCTAGAATTCTTCAACCATTGCAGCTCCCTTGTACAGTAAATGAGCCCCACACGAGGTGGACTTGTTTCACAGAGAGCAACAAGAAGGCCATTGGCGAAAAAAAGCAGATTACGTCAGATTACATCAAATCGTTTGCACCGGTTTTTCTTCACAGAAGACAGTGCTCATGAGGTTGTAGGAAACTTTTCGACAGCCCAACACTCGTTTCGCCATTCTGGGGGTTTAGCAGGTAGGCGTAATCCTTTAATCTGCTTAAATACCAAGTAGTACACAAATAATGAACTAGACTCATTTACAAACGATGTTATTGTTGATGAAATGAACTTTTCGTTTATGATATTTTCAACCGAATGTGCTGCGCAAGGAGTGTCCTGTGTTGCAGTTAGCTCGGTATTCGGGGCGGGATGGACCAAGTGGTTAGAGCGTGAATTTACGGACCAGAAGGTCCGACCTCTGCCTCTCGACTTCCCCTGTCTAGGCTTGGGTAACCTGGCAGTATCCCAGCCCTCGTGCCTCATTCGTGTAGCACGGCAGCTAGGCACCGAAAGGGTGCTAAAGCTGGACGATTTATTTTTATTATTATTCGGTATTCGAGATTTCGAAGTATACACACACTACTGTCAAATATCGCACCAAATAGAATATGAGGTGGCCTTTATTGAAGAACACCGTGAACTAGAGATTCCATTGAGTCTCTCGTTAACACCAGTGAAGTTTGCAAATTCGTATGTGTTTCGTCGACCCGATGAAATCGATCCACGTCTGATGTCTTTATGGAAAACACATCAGGGCGAAGGAACACAGTCGGCAGAGAATAGGCTGCGAAACCAGCGGCCAGGGACTAGTGCCTTGTTGTTTTGTTAAAAGCTGAGCGGCAGGGAGGGGGAAGGGACTCGTCATTGAGAAGCATATTAGCATCATTAGCATACGCCTCGCAATCCGGTTATTGGTAAAGAACCGTTGTCCCTCGTTTCACTTCTGCCTTACCTGGTTCGATTATCGGACCAGGTCTGTGATTGGCAGACAGCACGATCGAAAAATATCGCCCTTGTGAGAAGTTCAGTAATCGAACAAGGCAGAATCCATCATATATGTAATTCATTTGCACACAGATATGGGCGGATGATTAGAACGAACTCCGATAAAATATCTTGTTTACGCTGTTTTTCCATGGGAATAAAGAGAGGTATACCAGGGTTTAGTCAGGCCCACATTTTTGGTAATTTTTCCTTATAACCAGAGAGCTGAACTCGCTAACAGCCCACCACCAGTTTCGCTTTGTTTGGAGTTCAATCTTGTGGATAGTGATAACGAAATAAGACTGTTTGAGGCAGACATCATTTCGCTCGCCGTTCTCAATCGTAGTACGTGTCATGCGGACAGAATTAGATGTCGGCAATTCAGAATTAGGTCCAGAAATTCACACACACCGTGTTTATCTAGAACACGACAGATGCGATGCAATGTTGGAGGCGTTCCAGACGTGTAAATTCGATTAGGTTCGTTTGATAATCAAGGATTCGAAAAAAGTCAACAAGGTAACATAAATGAATACCAATTTGGCTTTAACGGAATGGTTAACTAAATCCCAGCAGAATCTTTCGTTTATGCCCTTCTTCAACTGAATGTGCTGCATAAAGGTCGCCTCATTTTTCAGTTCGTACGATATTCGCGATGTCACCGTATATTCTCTTGAAGGAAAATACTCATGAGGTTACTGTCGAAGAGTTTTCACAGCAGCCTTATGAGTACCGTCCCTCAACATATGAGGTCAATTACGTGTTACCTGAGGAAATGTGTGCCTGGATGCCAGAATTAATCGACTGCTTAGTAGTAGTTTGGCTCGTACCAAAGGTAGAGGCATTCTAAACATACTGATAAACAGTGCTTAAAACGTATTTGAAGACAGATCTCATGACAGGCACATATTTAGTAGGTACAGTGGTGGTGATCAGTGGTACCCACTTGATCAAAGGTCGGAGAGTACACCCATTTAATGAGCCGCAAAACGAAACCGACAGCAAATTGAAATTAGCACCATATCAATGCGACTACTCCACACTGCATTGAATTTATACCCAAATGAAACCTGAAGCGGTCTTGGCAAAGTACATTTTGTTAGGGATTATCATAGGGGCGAGATTTGTCTGAGTCTTACATGAACCCTATCTCAATGTGGAATTTGCTTAACTACTTGTCATGTCGTTGGTAAGATAGAATATCCTATATCCGTCACTGTGCGGCAGTATTCTCTCGTGTCCCCTGGATTCTTCGCGGATTTGGAAGTGGTTACCACGACCTGTAGCGTTACATGTGCCTCGAAACTAGGATATTACCAATAATTCTTGACAGACCAAGATACGCCCTTCTTCTGAGCCTGATAGTGCTTCGTGGTGAAAAACACACATAATAGGAGAATGTGGACACATCTCAGTGGCCCGAATATCAGGCGTGTCTAAGCACCCATCACTGTCATTGTCTGAATCGCGGTTTTACGACCTTGCATTCTGGGATTCTGGAGGCATATCAGGCGGAATACACCACCGATTCCGTCTGGCCGCTCACAGTTAGGCGATGTTACGGCCGAGAAGCTTATCCCGCAAGTGAATACCCAGGAGATCGGGCCATTTGCCAGTCCAGCATCAAGGCGAACCCCGATTGGTCGAAAGTCTGAACCCAACAGCCAATCGTGATCTGCCGAATACTGGTTGCCAATGCTGCGTCCAGAAGGCCGCATGCTTTATAAACGACGTGCTGTACATGTGTTTTTGACCCGGGTTCAGGCGTTAATACAAGTTGTACATCTTTGGTGATTGTTTTGACGGCATTGCTAACCTGAGACGTTCATACGGAGAACTAATGTGAGAAAAATACCGTTATTACAAGGCACTATACCTCAGAAAACACAAATGCTGTACCACTGTTATGGTACATGGGGGTAGAGGCGCCAGGAATATAATCTGGGTGGCAAGCATGTTGAATCGGTACACTCCATACAACCACGGCAGCTAAATATATACGCGTTTCAGCTCGGTATATTCTGACGTATCGTCGTTAGGAATATGAGAATGAACTCAATGCTGTCACGATCTGTCATGTTCGCCGTACAGAACACGAGAAATGAGTTACTGTCCAGTTGGAATGGTTTAACCAAGTAAAATCACGGTTGGCATCAAGAATAATCTACATGAATTGTTAAATTTCTAATCACATTCGACTTGAACGGATGCGATCCTCTCATAAGCAGTCAAATATTACCTATCACCATCCAATCTGCAGCGAACAGAGAGTTTTCTGAGATATTTCCTATTGCTAATTCGATTACGTATCTTGGCCTGCGCAATTGCAAAAGTTGTGCACTCGCGGCACGCAAGTTCAGAAACTATCTTTCAGATAACTGACGCTGAAAACGCATCACACAGTACTACTGATAAACACCAACGTACCAGAAGAACAAACCAATCTTGGAATCGCCTTGATAGACCAATATACCAGTCGGCGTCAACCCCAGATTGTAATCCTGGTTGTCCTTGCCCTGTGAAAACGAAAAAGGTGGATATTTCGAGGCGATATTCACTGGGAAGAAATGTCTGATCAGTCATGGACCAAATGCACTAAAGAAAACATTGAGGGGCGCATACCAAAGGCGGTCAAATAGTCGCCGCTACATGATGAGAATCAAGTCCACACCAAGTCACGTGTTCATTCACAAGCATGTGCTTAAGAATGTGATCTTGTTGCGCTCAAAGGCGAATTCGGCATAGAGGACATTAGAATACGGCGTTCCTAGTTAGATAGTTAACCATGTGCTCTTCTGGAAACCAAAACAGCCATGAAGTCATTTCTGGTGATTGATTTACTGCCCGTGTGACAGAACAACACATATGGCTAAGCAGAAAACTATCCAAGTGACTGCATAGGTGAGAACACTGCTTAAGCACAGTGAAGAAGAACAAACAGATTCACAGACCTATAAGTTCTGATTAATAGTGTGTGAGTAGATCCGTGATTCATGAAATTTTATCCACTGCACTTTTGTTTTGATAGTTTTCCTTTCATTGTCCTGGCAAAGTTGTTCCGGTGAGCCCAAGGAGAAAGTAGACTTAAAGGAAAGGAGACTCGCTCTAAGTGGACTTCATCATCATCATCATCGACTGCAACAGGATTCAAGTAGAGGCTGAGCTGTGATGCGCCGAAAAGATGGCAGCTTTTGACAAAAGTTTGCTTCTTTTAGGACATGAAAGAAATAAGCGGTCCTATTCCGCACGTACCACCTTCCCCATACTTTCTTTCTTTCATCAATCACATCGTCCAAGCGTAAACAGGTTCGTCTGTTCACCGGCCAGTGTGCGCTGGTGAAGTAGCGATAATCTGCTAGCTTCGCATGTCAAATGTCTGGAGTACGAATCCCGGCGCGAGCAAGGGAGCAAGACTTGAGTGCAATCCTCTATCTCCTTTGGGGTGTACCAAACGCAATAACTGAGTCAGGATGAGAGGAACACTGTGCATGGCAGAATCTTTTTCCTTGGGGCAAAAGATGATGCTCCGCCCATTGAAATGGTCTTTATGACGCTACATGCTTATGTTACTTTACGGCGACTGGCACCTGTGACAGAATGAGTCGGCCTCACAGATTTCCCGAAATGCTGCTGCCCAAGATCAGTGGTCACAGGTCATAGTTTGAGATGGAATCCTGATTCCGACGCCTGACATAAGATAGCAGGCTGAGACCGAAGCCCACCTGCTTCGAACCCAAATGGACGATGCTGATCCAAGTTCTTAGCTGTCCTCCAAGGTGGTAGCCCTGGTATTGAAAAGGTACCATTATTATTTTCGAATTTTCCAACCGACCGAACTATCGAAGTTGTTGCTGCTGTAGTAGTTGCCTGACACGACAGAAGAGTATGTCTTACACCATCCTACCACAATAGGTTACCTGCGTTTACCATCACGAAGAACACAACTCTGGCGGCTGAATGTCACAAAACTGTGAAGGATATGTTGGCATAGTTCTCTTGGTAAGCAGATTCCCCACAACACTGCATCCACCCCACATGGGGCCAGTAGAAAACAACCCCGAGTCTGAGTAAAAACAATCGGGAACTGAGATGAACTCACTCTGACAGTGTGCATATCGATTCCGTACGTGGGAATATGCCGAGCCTTTTCCAAATAAAGGGCTTCTGCATCAGCTGGTGTGAGATTACGGTTTCTGTGGGGGGACCAAGGGACAGGAAATTTCCGTAAACGGCAGAGCGGACTGAACAATGGACGAGAAAGCACAACTGTGTCCGAAACATACATGAGGCGAGGTTGTGAAGAAAGGCTGAAGGTGCCCCTTTAAGGCGTCGTAGGCAACAGTAGACAGCGAACCCACCACAAGGTAGAACTATGTGGAACAAAAAAGGAAGACTGGAAACTCACGCTAAAGCGCGATATTGAGCAAGCACATCGAGTTCAAACTGCTCTGTTTGCTCAGCCTCAGGCAGGAACCGGAAGGTAGAGACGAAAACAGGCGTGTGTTGACGAGGATCGAAGTCGCCAAACTCCGCTGTGGGTAGAAGTTAGAAACAGGATTAGCGATGGGTGGCCGTTGGAGAAACGTAACGCAATTTAATTAATCAGGAATTGGAAGTATGTTACTCGAAATGTACCAGAGCTAAGTGGGTAAGATTGTGAATGCTGAACGACATTACTAAAAAACTACACTCTTAAATGTTCTCTGAAACATTGAATGCATAGGTAGATTATCGCGACCGACCGCACGTCCAGTGTCCATGAAAGGGTCGTACCCGAGTCGTCGAGACAGTAAACTACGATCGTGTTCCCTCGGTCCATCAAGCCAGAAAAATGTGCTGCTTGGATCAAGAAGACAGAAAAACTCGGGACCTGTGAGTAACACAGTGATCCCATAAAACAGGTGGTTGAGTCTGTCTGGGAACCGACCTTTCAAGATAAGGATTACACATTAAACTATGGCTGATATTGTGAAATTTCCATGGGGTAGCCATAGTTCGGGGGAGGGATATCTTTTCGGAAAGTTGTTCGACTATACCTAACCGACTCGATGTGATGGAAACCTACGCGGTTCTAACATGGTTGGACAGAATCCATAATTTGGACAGTCATCATACATGAACAATGCCAGCCTGTTACAGAAAAGCAAGTCACTATCGTCTGATTACTTAGTCAGGCGACGGTTCAACTACGTTACAGGGATTCCGTTCTCGACTTGACCGCCCACACGAAACAGAATCTCAATGGATCTAGCGACCCTCGCTGTAAAGATCTCCCTCTGCAGGTTTTGGACTATTCATCCCCACACATTAGGAACGTTTCTCTCATACGATAAAACTGGCTTGGTTCTCTCGGGATCGTGCTACGAAGTATAGTGAAACCAAACAAGTTCGCAGCTGAACGTGTGAGGATGTTCTACGCTCTTGGGAAAATAACGGTATGGGACAGAAAAGAACAGCTTTAAAACTACAGTCTCTTCCAACAGTATGGCAGATTATAGGAGGAAGATAACTTATGGCGACAGGACTCTCTAACAATGGCAAGCGCACGAAAAGTAAGCAGAAAAACACAAACTCCTGAGGGGAGTTGAAAGGATGTGCGCTGGCCCAGTGTGTGAGCAGCTGGAATTTGCAGAAGTGTGGGAAAACCGAGAGAGTTCAAGAAAGGGTTGCTCTAGATGAGGAAAAACCAAACACCAAGTGATAGAAGAGCGTGAAGCAGCAAGTTGCGCGGTAAAAAGAGTGAAATATACAGCGACAGCGGCGGCGATAGTAGTTGGAGTAACTAAGCCCCAAAAGGTAGACATTTTTCGCAGGTTATGGAAAAGACAGGAAGTGGCAACGAGGTGTATACACCTATTCTACGAAGCGTTTGGGGGGGGGGGCAGAAAATACGAAACACAATGACAATTTTGGATTTACGGACCAGTTAGGCTGAGCTGAGATCGGAATCGGCAACCGCTCAAAAAGTACACTCGAATGGTGAGTGCAGTCTGGTCCGTAATACCATGGTCACAGAATATCAGTTCTAGTCTCGACATCGGCTTAGTACATCAACATATTAAGGCGAATCGTTTGTAGGTCCTAATGTAAAGAGTAGCAATGGGTCCAGTCCAGTACACACCTGTATGAGCAGCTATAGTATGATCGCTTTTTTTGATAAGACGCTTCTATCCCCACCAATTCGTTTAGCTCAGGGACTGCACTATAAATCCTATAAAACTCTGGACTAGAAACCATCAACCCATTCAGTATCATCATCATCATCATCATCATCATCATCATCATCAACAACAACAACAACAACAACAACAGCATTGAGCCTCGCAGCCGGATGCCAAACAGATGATTCGAATTGCCAGTTGGTACAAACAAACCTTTCAATTAAGTGTCCCTCACCAGCAGTAGCCAGTGCTCTGTGTCTCCCATCAGCACAGAGCACAAACAAACAAAAACCGTGTCTTCCAATTCTATATGAAAATACTGTAAACTTATGGACCAAAATTAAAAGGTCAGTAAGCAAGGGACCGAATGTGATCGAGTCCCAGAGAGATGAATCATGATAGGAAAAGAACTAGCCACAGGAAAAAGTGCGAATTGGAACAACGCGATCGAAATCACATGCCTTGAAGTAAAAGCGCAGCAAGCTCGCTGGCTAGCCTCGTGTCTGGACATTTGAGCTGCCCAGTGTGTATCGCCTCGCGCAGTTGCAGCACCACTAGATATCGCGTGTATTCATCACGTAGATGATGCGGATCGGAGGCGAAGAATTTAACCCGAAAAAGAATATTGTATGGAGGGCTGCCTGAAGGAGAGCAAGAAGAACAAGGAAACCGTCGTGGATTAGAAACGGGTTCGGAATATTCAGAGGAAACAGAAGTTGTAACATGGCGCAACATAACAGACGGCCAGGGACATACATGTGAGACACAACACATATCGCTTGTTATAAAACTGAATTTCGGATGTTAACGGTGACTAAGAGTTGCGAGACGTTACTTATACCTACAAGTCTACCTATCTGCTTGACAAAGTACCTACAGCACGTAAGGTTGGCCTATCTATCCCACATTGGCCTGTCTATTTTTACTTTGGTTGGACCCATTTCAGACACGTAAGATGAGAGATGAACAATGGTATCAAATTAAAGTACAAAAAGATCACAGGCACAACGTTTGCCAGAAAACGCTCCTTCCTTGGTGGAACATTAAGAAACACTAGGAGGATAGATAGATCACATTCCATAGATGCTGGAAAGAACACCTAGAGGCCGGTCGAAAACAGGATTTCAACAGAGCGCTTATGGGGGCGAGATGGCCTAAGTGGTCAGAGCGCGAATTTACTAACCGGAAGGTCCGTGGTTCGAACCACGGACCACTCGACTTCCACTGTCTAGGCTTGGGTAACTTGGCAGTATTCCAGCCCTCGTGCTTCCTCCGGGTGGCATGGCAGCTAGACACCGAAGCAGTGTCTAACTAGTGTGACTATTGTGAATGATGGGCAACGTGAACTAAGGTTGATAACATCCAGTCAGAAAAGTAGTAGTTATGGCTGAAAGCATAGGATTCAGGCTAGTTTAGAAACTCAGAATCATCGAGCAGGCACACAATGTCACTCTAGGTGAACGAGAAATGTGAAACTGATCACGATAGGTGAAATGGGCTGATGTTACTTTGGAGAAAACCTCGGGAGAGTAATGTGCGTGTGCTTTGAAAAGAAGTCGTTTGAGTCAGAAGGTCTTTCACGCATGTTCAGCCCATAGCCTTGCTCTTGCTATTCAAAAATTGACTCACAGCGCCCCATACTAATATACACTAGGCGACGAGATCAAGCAAATATAATTTCTTTCGCTAGGCATGACACATTGTCTCTAGCCACTGGTATCCCAGCCGGTCAATAATAAATCAATAATGAGCACACAAACTCCTGAGTATGTCCATCAAAAGAATAGCATCGGAGAAAAAAATACGCATCCAAAGTCTAAATCGATTGGCTGTTGCATCGCTCAAGATTGAGTGAGATCAAAAACAAACTGCAATAAGGAGCTTATGAGAAACCTGACCGAGTGTGCCCACTGGTTTGTCTCTAGCCCGGAGTGGAGTAGCTGCTGACTTGTTCACCAAGTTTGGTTTGGAATCGTTTCGTCACCAATCGAGGAGATATTGTCAGTATCACCCCGAAAAGTGACGTAGCCAGGCGAGGAAGTCAACGAATAATGAATCCATCAGAACTGACACCATTCCGTAACAGCGCCAACCTGAACTGGACTTGGAGCCAATCTAGTGGTCACTCAAGCGTCCTGCATGTTTGAGTGCTCATGTAGTTTGGTATCCGGGTGTGTAAAGATGGCTACAGTACCCCTAATGGGCGCAGAATGAAACTGCGCAAAAAATAGTCGGTCTAAATCTGAAGGTACTGTGACCTGTGAGTCAAGCTGGTATGACCGCACTTTCTCATCCCACAGGAACGCCACGTTTGTCTAAGAGGGTGCTGGAAAGCCCTATGTGGTAATCCAATTTAACAAGAGGCTAAACACAAGGACACCAAATCCTGTGTATTCGCTACGCCTCCAACCAAAGCCAAGCCTTGTTCAGTATTTCGTGCATCTTCCTTAAGACATTCTGAGATATGTTTTTGGTATATGAGGAACAAAGTGAAAAGCCACGTTAATCCCAGTGAACCCCAAAGGAATATACGCAACTTTCCAGTATGCAACTCAGTTTCAGTGAAGTCTTGACATTAGGCCCCAAATGATGTCAGAAACAGTATAATTTGATATTCTTTCCAATCAAACGACCTTATGTTCACTCAAGAGACTACTTTAAAACACTCAAATACATCTTTGTTCATTGTTACCAACAGTATGTGAAAGGTTGTGCCATAGCTAGCAGCCTCATTACGAAGAAACGAAAAAGCCCAGAAGGAAGTTAAGGCCATGCGGGACAGGTTTGTGCTGGAAAATGGACAGCAGGGCTACAGGGGTAGGATTATGTAGATAAGATAGATATAACATAGCAGCTGACGATAGCAAAATCAGTTGTATTCTCGGAGAATGGATAAAACTGCTTACGTCGCGCAGTAAATATCCAAGTGTCTGAAAACAATCAAAGACGATGGAGTCATAAGTAACAAACCGTGCGAAGCTAGTAAACTTACTGGTCCCATAGATCTACGGGCTTCATTAACTCTGATTAGAAATCACACCAACTCATCCAGCGGTCAACTCTCCTTATGGCGCTACTGGCCAACACAGACCGAAATGTTCGTCGAGCAAGCCAGACAACATAGTTCAGCTCACAAACGGTATAAACAATATGAACAATTCGGAGAACACGTTCTCATTGGATATTGGACCGTTTTTCACGCACATTAAGCTTTCTCACCAAACTGTACGAAACGAGCACAACGGTTTTGTTGCCAACACAAGAGCAGCCCTTTGTCAATGTTATCGTTACGCAGACGAGAATCTGAAACACAAACCTGACCAGTTTCGCGATAACTTCAAACCGTTAGCCGATGAACTCAGACTAGCAACTGAGAATAAAGACTGACTACCCATTCTTGATGTGAACACGCCCAGCTGTGAGGATCAACCTATTCAACGATTAGCATAACGGAGCACGGATTAGTTCGGTCAGTATACAATGTCTTTCCCTGATGAGAAATCTTCCTATGAAACATACTCGGAGTTTTATCCCAGCGGGAGTCCTCTTAACGAGGAACAAAGGAGCAGAAAAATGCTGGCCACTGTACAAGTATGAAAAATGACATGTCTTTTTTAGGGTTTCGAATAGCATCCACCTGTACCGTGGAACACAGCGAACTAAGGCCAAACAAATAAACACTAATCACCCCCCTTTCCCTCGAGTCAATTTCTATGGAACCTCCACTGCTCTTTGGAAACCTGATAAATTATATCGGCCACACGGGCCGTTATCACCCATTGAGTGGGTGGCAGTGGTGACTGTCTCTTCTACGATCGACAGATCTTGCTGCGGCTACAACTCACCTCACAGATGGCAAGCGCTAGTAGTGGAAAAGATTGTTACAGGATCAAGTTGGAAAACTGGTTCCGCTTTTGTATTTGGAACGTGTACAACTCTGGGCAATTGTGCCAAGTTCAATAAGAATTGTGAAAGTGTTGATGACTGATAAAAACTGAAGACATGGGCTTTTTCTTCTGCTGGCTTAAGTCAGATTGTCCCGATTGTGCTATGATTTTGGAACAGAAACCGAGCACTGCTAGTCATTCGAAGAATGCTGTTGCAAAAGCTAGACAATTCGGCACGAATAAACCAAATCGTTTAAATAAGAAGACAATTCCTTGTAGTAGTTAGAACGATCGAATCATTTTTCGACAACGTTTGGTTGCTGTTCGAAAGGCACAAAGCACACTCCGATCCGGATTGGATCCAGACCGAACTCGACCTTGTGCAAACTGAAACTGCTTGGACAGTATACAACTCAAACGACCAACCTGGAATAGGCAAATTTCTCAATCTCAATAGTCTTGGCATCTCGGGTGGATGAGTAGGACCCTTGTGACCTTGACTTCGCCCCGCTCTAAATAGTTGCACATAGGCTTTTGTACCTCTGATGTTGATGGTCTTTTTGAAATGTACGGCTTTATATGAAACCTCTAAACGGTTAGCAAGACTACTGAGATAGGAATGTTTTTCGTAATCTCCGAGATCGTTCCTTATTTCCACAATTTTATCGTATTGAACGAAAAAGAGAAAGAGCTGAGGCATCGCAAAAGCACTTTTGACCTCTTCAAAACAAGGCTATGCCGGCCGTTTCATATGAACATGTAGCCCCTACGAAAGTCAAGTGAGCTGGATTTCAGCTGCACAACAAAGATGAGTTGCTGATATTTAGCTCCACAAATGTTATCTATTCGTACAGGTGCATCATAGGTAAATTGCTCCACCGAAACCAGGGGAGCTATCGGCATTCGGAAAAAAGAGAAATTAACCTCGCATTTCGCATTGGGTAGACAGTATCTCAGCCTCGCGCTTCCTTCAGGTTGTACCGTAGATATGCATCGAAAGGGTATTGCAGTCGAACGATCACTTCACTTTACATATGGTTGGACGACAACTATTGGTCCCGTTGTGCGAGAAATCACTATTATCGGCACCATTGGCGAGTGATAAAAGATCATCTGGGAGCTGAACCCAGAAAGGGTGATATTTAAGGCGTAAGTATTTATCAAGAATAGGTTAACCCAGGATCGACACTGCGGTCGGCCGGAAATCTAGATATCCCAACTCAGTTTGTGGGGAGGGACCGAGAAATACGGGTGTCGTACTGGTGAATGTGGATAGCTACCGTACTGGACTGGTTTCTCGTTACGACGTGAAAAAGTCCAGTCAAGTGCCATGATGAGTAAGTTTAAAGTAACTGTATTGAAAATACCGGAAAACCCCATACTCGGCGTATCTAGACACAGCAGTTGTGTTAACATACATCCCCATGTAATTACGTCATCCGGTTGCTGCATAGTGTGTATGACCTCAGTTTGCTGCGTTACAACCAGTAGCACGACTGTAATGAAATTCATACATCAGGATCTCAAAAACGTCGCCCGGCCCAAAATGACGAACGTTTCAGTGCGAAATGATGTGAGTTTGGGTGCCACTTACAAACAGTCTGGTTGGAGAAATTATAAATGATAAAAATTGTTTAGGATGTGTTAGCCGGGATCCGGCACACCCGCTGAATGGTCAGTCAACTTTCGAAAAGTCAAAGTAAAGAAAGTCAGTCCACAGAATCCATAACTATGAAGAAGGTCCACCGTTCGTTAACCCATAAGTAGACGAAGAAATTTGACGAGATTACAATAATGGAAACACTATCGTAGATAAACACCACAAAGTTCGTCACGACTGAGTACCAAATGATAGCCAGACGGCTAAAAGTGGCCGAGAGCTTCAAGGGGAAGCCCAATTTCATAATAACGAAATGAGGGGATTTAGTGGGATTGGAAACGTACCCTCACACTGCTTCCTTATACTCTTGGTTGGATCGAGCCAGGACTACAAAGGAGAGAGATTGGTGATGTGAAATTGGAATGTCTTACATCCTGCTTCCCGCAATATTTCAAACCAAAGTAGTCCCGTTCTTCTATAACACCGATATAGGCAAACGCGATATCGAACAGCTGTGAGGCATCAGCGTTTTTCTATCGGGCAAATACGATCAGGTTCGAAAGAGAGATAATGCTACCGGAAGGTAGAATGTTTGCTCAGTACCGTCCAGATAAGTTACACGACAACCCAAATCGGACTTTTTGGTCTTCTTCGTCTTGCTTACCGCCATCGCTTCGTCCATATGACTCGGGGCCTGTTCATCGGCCTTCTTCCGACCAAATCGCCGACTGAAGAAACGTATGATTGCAGCCATCGTCGAACAGCGAGTGTGATAGTACGTCCGTGTGCAATAGACCCTACAACTGGCCGGATGGTGCCATTAGTTAACCCCTTTGCACCTATGAATGGAAGAAAAACGTGTTCTGTCAGGAAATTAAATCTATGACATCACAACGAGGTACCACTGAGAGATGGCAACTTGTCATGGTTAGATTGGATACTTCACCTATCGTTGGGGTTCTCCGAATGTCGTCACAGGTTGGCGGGTCAGCATCTGGGGACTGTGATAGACCGACGGACGGAACTGTGTTATTGCGTGAAAAATATCGTCACCATAGAGAACAACTTGTTGTTACATGTATTTCATCGATATAAAACTACCAGTTTTGTTTAAATCCCCCGTATAAACAAAACGACTGGGTTGAGGGAAATAGCGCTACCTTAGCATAATCATTCTGAGCGTCCGAAGGCCCACTCAGATTATCTGGATACAAGATACAGACACCACTAGCCATCACAAGTGACAAACCATCTAGTTAGGCGTAATGGGTTCATGAGGACGCGTTCTGAAAGTCAGACCACACCGATGGCATCGGAATTTCTCCTATTCTGTATATATAGAAAACCTGGATTACGGAGTGAATGCAGTTTGGGATACTGCACATCAAACAAGTGTATAAAACATAAAGTAGTGCTGACAGAAAAACTGCTGACGTCAAATGACTGGCAAGCCTCGAAGTAAAGACAGAAATAAAAAAATCGCTGTAACACAACACCCTTCCGGCGCCTAGATGGCATGCCACCCGAAGGAAGCACGAGGGCTGGGATACTGCCAGGTTGCCCAAGCCTAGACAGAGGTAGTCGAGAGGCAGAGGTCGGGTTCGAACGACGGACCTTCCGGTCAGTAAATTCGCGCTCAGACCACTTGAGCCATCTCGCCCCCGGCTTAAAGGCAGGATAGACTGAAGTTGGGGAAAGACTAAGGGTGTAAGGCGACTCCATTGTTTTGAGGTGGACAGAAGTGGAGTTAGGTCCGAAAAGAGAGATGGTCAGTTTGGAGCTGGTTTTACAGAGGTGGATTGTGCTGTAGAAACGACAGTTAGTGAAGATGGCAAAATCTTGCTCTGGAAAACATCAGGCATGCTAGAAGCGGCATAAAACACAGTCCATGTCTTTCCGACGTGTTCAAGGCTGCAACGGGTCCCTGAGGAGGCGCAAAAGGGACCTTCCTCTGTGTCCAATTCAAGAGGTTGAGGTGAGGTGCACAAGTGTCACCCGAACATCAGGGATATCGATGTCACTGTTAACAGTGAGCCTCACTCTCGTATGAACAGAGTTTATTTAACTATATTTAACTATATATATATATATAACTATATTTAAAGAGTTAAAGTTAAAAGGGAGAGTGGATAAACACCGGACCTAGTGCTGGCCTACCAGATGCGTTCTGAGATGTCTACATCCCAATCAGATAGTCTGTGTAGAAACTGCTAGTACGAACGTTAACGATATCGATTATCCATCATTTCTTGCAGTCTCCAGCCAAGTGTATGGGGGTCAGAGGCCTCGTTGTGAAGGTTGACCTCACCAGAAAAAAAACTAAACTCTCAACAGTCCCTTTCATTTCTCAGTTGTCCACCTTGCGGTTTGCGCAATTCTGAGGGAGGCACGGAGAACAACACCCGTCGCAACAGACGGTGTTTTGACATGCGTAGCACAGACGAACCACCGTAGATGGTACTGGGTGTCACCTGCATACTCCAGGTTGACAAAGTTTTAACCAGCAGCGAGTTGAATAGCAGAAATTTGAAGACCCTAACACGCCCCCCTTATTAGTACACAAATGACGAAGCCGAACAAGAAGGAATAAAGTGAACATCCCTGTCAAACATCATTGTTGTCTCAGAACCACAGCTAGTACGGTTAGTGTCGGTGGATCCATAACGAGGTAATTAGAAAGCGATTGTTCGGTTGTACAACGGAGACTCCCATTGAAGAATGTGTCTAGCACTAGAGGCTGCGTTGGCTGGGCCATGCACTGCGCATGTCGAACTATCGATTTCCGAAGAGAACTGTTTTCCGTGCCGATTTCAGTGGCACTAGCAGAGAGGTGGCCCACCTTGAACCTGGAGGGAAATGGAATCTATTAAAGAAAGCAAAGAAAGCGTTCAGCTGCAGCACCCTTTCGGTGCCTAGCTGCCATGCCACCCGAAGGAAGCACGAGGGCTGGGATACTGCCAGGTTGCCCAAGCCTAGGCAGGGGAAGTCGAATGGCGGAGGTCGGATTCGACGGACGGACCTTCCGGTTAGTAAATTCGCGCTGACCATTTGGGCCACCTCGCCCAATGGAATCGATTAAGAAATACCTTTGCATTGTCAAAGTGACTCGCCTTGCAGAATGAGGTCTGTGTGGTCCTTCTTGTGCATGGCTGGAAACGATGTAAGATGTGGCTGGTAATCCGCGTCAACGGTGTTCTGTTGTCCTTTCTTATCCAGTGTCTGAGTGAGTGTCTGTACGTGTGGGCACCTCGGAATTGTTGAGAAAGGCCAAGACGAAGCCCCTTCCCACCCATTTTTGATCTTTTCTTCTCAATAAGGATTCTAAATAAATCATGGTTGTACGGCAGAAAAGTGTCAGTGTTGAACATTGATATTATATCATCGATGATTACCTCTTTGAAGGAACATTATAGAGAACTCTGCATACACCCCCAAAAAGCCAGAAGCATGTGAATATAGGGTGAGATGGCTCAGTGGTTACAGCGCGAATTTACTGACCGGAAGGTCCGCCATTCGAATCCGACCTCTGCCTCTCGACTTCCTCTGTCTAGGCTTGGGCAACCTGGAAATATCCTAGTTCTCGTGCTTTCTTCGGGTGGCACGGCATCTAAACACCGGAAGGGTGTTACAGCTGAACGATTATCCTTTTTGGTATCATGTGAATATAAGGACTGGATTAAGTTCACAAAATTCTGGAGTATCCCCTGTTGAACAAGTGAAGTCAGAAGCACTAACCAAATGACAAAACCAAATACACCCTTGAAGATAAGGAAAAGAGTGTGAAGATGTGGTTCACACAGCATCTACCTGGTGGACATCCTGTTAGATGCTAACTGTTCAGGGTTTTGCGTGCTACCGTAAGGAAACCAAGAATCATTGATTCCAGAATTTTTGCTGCAATAAAAGTCCCGTAGTCAAGTATGGCATCTGGTTGTTCACGGACGATATATATACAAAACAGTGGGGACGCCGAGAGAGCATGCAACGCAACAGTTTTATAGGAACAGGAATCTTGTTCAAGATGATGGCGAGCAGACAGCGAGGGCAGGCACGGCAACCTGATGTATGGAGGTAGTTTTGGATTCCAAATAACTGTACTACGCATACCTATTACAAGACAAAAACAACCCTGCATCTGAAATCGACAGAAGCATTAGTTTAAAAGCGCCTGATATCCCTGCCATCGAACTCGGCAGACACCCACCCAGCGTAGATTGCCGACGGTCTGACCCGATTTTTTGTAAACTGTCATGGTATATGCGTGTCAAGTCTAATCTCCCAGCACCATCCTAACAAATCCAGTGAGAATTTGATCTATTGATGATTCGAACTGGTTTACTGTCGTGGTAAATTGCAATTGCGCCAGAGGACGAACTCACGCCTCAACCGTCTCCGTGAGACAGGCCATCGGTCTGTCGTAATCCCAACCGTGGCACAGATCCGTGGCACTGTCTTAGGCATGTTAGCGCATGCATATGCGAATATATAAATACCAGTGTGGTAGACAGATCTCACTGCCATACAGGGTAACCTAAACCCATATGAAACTTATGTAGCTTGCAACTTCAAGCGCCTGGTTTTTTTCATTGCCAACATATCCTTGTATTGTCACATTGTTTTTCAGCTTTAGCTGCATTGGACCTTGTACAGTTTATGTATATCTGAAAAGGACCCACCTTAACACTCTGGACATTCGGGGGTGTTAAGCCTACATTGGTACCACCCGTATACAGGTGAAACTGACTGCTGGGTAGCACCAACTAGCCGTGTCTTACGTGCATCCTAATGGTGGTGCGGGACCCAGGCTACCTTTTGTATAGGCTAAGAGTTTCAACCGGTTGTGCATACACACGGCCTTAGAACTGTTCGCTCCTGTCCACCCTCAGGTGGCGTTCCATTCGGTTTACAACGGTTACAGCGCGCTCAGCAGGACGCACACGCGACTAAACGCTTATGCATGGCACTACCTACTGTCCGCAGAAGTTCGTCGACGTAGTGCGACGACATAACAACAACGTTAAACACTGATTTTGCCAGAAGTTCGTCGACGTAGTGCGACGACATAACAACAACGTTAAACACTGATACTTCTTTGCCGTACAACCATTATTTATTCGAAAGCCCCATTGAGAAGAAAAGAGTAAAAGTGAACGGGGAAGGAATCTAGTCTTGGCCGACCTGAGTCATTCCGAGGTGCCCACACGTAAATAGACTCACTAAGATATTCTGGGTATGAACTGACAATAGAACACCATTAACACTGACTACCAGCCATATCTTGCATCGTTTCCACCTATGCATAAGGGGTTACGCGGATCCAACTTTGGAAGGCACCGATAACACCCAGATTGTTTCTCCTTCAGCCATAACAGCCTTTCGGTATACTCTTTACGCTGTCCGAAGCAAGCACGAAGGCTGAGATACGTCCAGGATTCCTAAGCCTAAACGGGAGCAATCGACATTCAGAGGTTGTGTTACAACCACGGACTTTCAGGTTGATAAGTTCGCACCCTAAACACTAAAATATCCCTTGTCTAGGACTACCCAGACAGTTTACTGTTCAAAAATGCGTTAACCAAAAATACGAAGTCCATCTCTGAACGGCATTCGGGCGTTTGAGCTATTAGTAGTTGACTGCAAGTACTAAGAAATGTAAAACTCGGATAGAACACTGTCAACCTCTTCCGACACAGCACTAAGTAACAAGTCTCCAGTTCGTTTAGGTGTTCGAGCAAGTCGGGTACTTCCTTTCCC